TATATAGATATATATATATATATATATATATATATATATATATATCTGGTTATTTGCTTGTTTTTCTCTTTTTTATATCTTATTGCGTTCCTTGTCGTTGATGAGTTTCTTATTTGTGAGTTTTATTCGTGCCAAAGTTTTTATCGAAATAAATTGAGATTGTGATTTTTATGTGAAAATTAATAATACGTATTTAAATCTAAAATCAATTTATACGTGAAAAATTTGAAATGCGTAAGAAATTTCTCTTTCCTTTCATTTTTAAAGTTTAAGATAGAGTAAAGAATTCCTATATATACGATAATTGTGAGTCAATTTTACTTGAAGAAATTCGTAATTTAATAGAACATCACGGTATAAGGAAATTATATCGTTCGAAGGATAAACATTCAATCCTGTAAAGAAGATGTTCAATTAATCGTACGGAGATCTCCCTCTTCGTTCGAGCCACCAAGAAAAGCAATTCTCGCGAAACGTATTATTTTCGAAACGGAGAATAGGTAGGATGTCATGCACGTTACAATTGGACCGAGTAATTATCTCGTTCCGTTCGTGTGGAGGAGCAAGGGTGTACGTGAGGTCGGGGTGTTAACGAACCGGACAATGAGTAGTCACGGTTCGTTAGATACTCAACAACCAAATAATTAGCAAGCGCATTCGGATCCCCCGCGCGACTGGATTTTGGACATTGCGTCGCGCCTTTGTCAAATTCCATTTAACGTAACGATCTTCGCGTTTCTTTGTGTCCCCTCGTGCTTTCGATATTACGTATTTCACGGATATACCTTTTCAAATATGCGCGATCACGAAACGAAGATATCCACTGTTATTCCATCGATGAACAAAAGCATCGACAGCTACAGTAATATCCGTACACAGAAATGGAAATGGAGGAAGAATACCTCTTTGCACCTCAACTTTTTCCTTTTTTCAAAATATTCCGTCTAGCATCTTTTTATTTTTTAGAAATTAAATTGCTTTTATTAAGTAACAATTGGAAGAGTGTATCGTTAATATAGCGATTGATTCAAAATATTTCAAAATGGTTTTAAGTAGCAGGATAAAATTCTTTGATACGAATTTTCTGCAAATCGTTGATGAACGATTCAGTGCATAAAGCTAAAGTAAACTCGTAATCCGTCATATCTGTCCCTATTGCTAATTAAAATCTCTTGTATCTCCTCGTCGAAAACTAAAATTGGTTAATCCGATTTTCAGTGGAATTCCTCTGGAAAGTCTAATGAAAATCTGACCGGGGCATTTGCGAAACGCTTGTTTCGCCCACAGGTATCCCCCGTGGAGAGAATCCGCGTGATAGAGAATTGGAAAGCGTGTTGTTTATGAAACTATCTCTATCCAACGTGATTCCAAAGTTTTGGAAAATTTCAGATCACGTCGTGTCCGAAATATATTACTCCATGCAACAACGGATTACTTCCTTGTTCGTTTCGTGATTTATCAAGATTACAATGTTTAATTTCATTGATGAACGTATATTTATAAAAGATAGGTTTTCCATGTAAAAATAAAATAAAATTATAAAATTCTCAACTGATTGAATTGAACAATTGGTCTTCGATCGATCATTTACGCGTCGAATGAACGACACGACGAAATGTGCGATTTCTTAAAAATTAAACGCTATTGCTATTATTATTATTATTATTATTATTATTATTACATCCAAGAATATTATTATCCTCGCCTCTTATATTTCTCGAACAATTTTCTTCGAGATATTTAAATGCCCGACATCTTCCATTTTCCGTGTTTTAATTTCACCGGAACGAGTGAGCCATCTTGAACAAGAAAATTCCGGGTCACTCCGTGAACTGAATTCCTAAACTACATGTTAAAAATGAAATATACCATGCAAATGAATCTGCATTACGGTTTTTCTTCGAGAGAGCGTTCAAAAGGGGAAGTTTCGAAACTCGGTTTCCTCGGGAAAGGTTATAAAGAGTTTAAAATGGCCGGGTATTAAACAAAATGCTGACGCGTTGAGAAAGTGACGTACTACTATCCTGAAGGCGGAGAACGTTCAAGGATGAGGGGAGATATCAAGTGTGGGTTTATGCAAGACAAGCGCGTTTCGCCGCATAATTTCAGTCTTAAAGTGCACTTTATTAAAAATAATAACCGTAGAACGGAGTTACGTGATTCGGAATAGAAACCGTTTGAAAGATTACATTTGAAAAAGATCCATCCATTTATTGCTTCGAACGAAAACGACTTGTGAAAAATATATATCTATATTTATATTACTTATATAATATAACTTATTAATTATTGTTTATCAGATATATATAATTATATCACATCCATTTCACCACTAATCCTCTCTTCATTCTCTTTGGTAGGAAAATAAATATTTTTTACTTCGGACATCTGAAAAAAGAAATAACGAATAGATTCGTCCGACCGATTTCTTCGAAAAGAGTATTTATCATTTTTCAAAATAGATTCTTAATTTCTGAACGAAATTATTAAATCTTACCTTTGATTATTCTTTTACAAAAAAAAAATCTCAAAATATTTTAAATTTGTCGAAATCGATAGCTGCCAGGAAGTCTCTGTGCACTTGAGTGGCCATGGGCACCGTGATCCCCGTATCCAATTTTATATTCAACTGTTGCTCCATGCTGAACGAAAAATTCGACAGATTCTCCTTATTGCTGATCATCTCATCACGTTTGCACCTCCTGTCCCTTCTTTGCCGCGCGACACTTTTAACCGTTCTCTCCGTCAACCCCCTTTGACCGTTATTATTGTTGTTATTGTTGTCCCAATTCTGTTCTCGCAAAGGGGTCTCGTATTCACGCACGCTCGATCTGAACCGGTGCAAGATAAGCTTCTTGGCGGGCAACTCGAGCGAGAGCGACGAAACAGTCGAGTCGGAAACTTTCGTCCGTTTCACGTTCTCGTCCTCGTTCGTGGACACGGTCTTTTCGATATTTTGCTCCGACGAGATCTCGATCTTCACCGTTTCACTCGCCCCTCCCTCCTCCTCCTCCTCCTCGGGCTTCGCTTTGTCGATCGCGCTCGAGGCGGGGGACAAACGCTCCAACCATTGAGACTTCAATCGTGGATCGGTGAGGAAACTTATCAAAGGTATGTTCTCTATATCGAACTCTCTGCAACTCACCGAATACTCGTAGCTCACTTTCGTTCTCAACTCTTCTACGCGCTCGTTCTTACGTATACTGTTCGACGATCTCAGTCGCATGTTGTACGATTTACCAATTATCTGTCTCGGCCATTTAGAATTGTGTTGGTAGGCCGGCAACACGTCGTTGTTCACGATTTTATACTTGGTCCTGGATGTGATCGCGTGCGTTCGCGACTCCGGATGGCACAACTCGCAGTGGACGTAATAATCCCCTTTGGTGAAAAAAGTCTCGCCTGTAAACAGGGGAGGGGGGAATGGATTTCAATCAATTTGTCGATTCGATCTAAATGCGTGTTTTCAAATAATAGATTAAATAATGGAGTAAGCCTTTAATTGGCAAGATATATTTGCCGTCATCTTGGTAAATATATATATATATGTGTGTATATGGAGAATTTTATTTCTTGATGATTTATGATTTATGGATTTACCGTAGAAATTGAATAAAGTGACTAGAAATAAACTATGGCTTGTGACTTTTAAACTTTTTGAAAAAGATAATTCTCACATAACTTGAAAACCCTGAATTATTTCGATTCACACTGTTCAAAGTGTCATTATTAAATTTTAAATAAACTTAAATAATTTAACACGAACTCGGTCTATAATTTTTTCAAAGTATTTTTATACAAATGTGAAGAATACATATTTTACATTGGAGTGAATCGGTTCTATTTATTATTGGGAACGAACAAAATCGTTAATTATTTTCTCAAACGGAATTTTTTCGAAAAAAGAAAAAAATAACTACGATTAACAGCTTTTAAAAAATAATATTTTTGGAGTTCTGATTATACGATTAATTTACATTCCGATCGACGAAATTCGAATCGATTTGAAATTAAAAGTCAACAAAGGAGCAGACGAATGAATTCCTACCCCTAAACACTATCTGCAGGTGAAATAAATTCGCGTATCGACTCTTTGTCGTCCCAACTTTTGTGTAGTAATCATTGTGTGAGGTCGTAGGTGATAATAAAGGGCCACCACCGAACGCGGCAAAGCAGAAATCGTGAAAACGTAATTGAAACCAGGGCATTCGGATTTGTTATTAGAGAGTGCTCCAGAAATATAAAGGGTGGCGCGTTTATCTGACAAACAACAAAGAACGCGTGGCAATAGTGTCTTCGATGGAGGATCGAGGAGGATCGGTTCGGTTTATTTAGAGCGTGGCGAGATAATCGAACCGATCTTGGAAATAAGAGACGAAGATTGTGTACATTAAACGATCCCCTCTCTCGACTTTCCACCCAACTTTCGTCTGCTCGACACTTTCGCTATTTTACGCGTGCACAATGTATTCCCTAGTATTTACAAGATTATAGAGTGTTGAGCTATACCGATATCACCAATGGTATAATATTTAAGTAACACTTATAATGGAAGTCATTTCGAGATTAAGAAAATTCGATAAGGGTAGAAGAAGTAAATAAATTTTTAATCCGGTTGGATCCAATGAAATTACGAGGAATTCAGAACAGGTGACTGATTTAAACTTTTGACACTTCTAAAGATAAATGCGCGATTAATTATCAATTGACAATTTTATTCTCTTGGCTTAATCGAATTGAAAAAAAATTAAAATTTATTTATTTAGAAGTCAAACCGATCAATTTCCATCAATCTGTCTCTGTGCAATAATTCTTCAATTAGGCACTCTTCTAATAGGTCGTGGAACGAAATGAAAATTTTGACAAGTGTATAATTACACTTACCGCAACAAATGTTCAGCTTTTGTCTTAAATGAATCCTTTCGTTGTGCCTTTGGACGTTGTATTGTCGAGGACTTTCGTATTTGCAACCACTACAAGTGTACATCGTCTTCTCTTTTTTGTTACGTCCTTTTCGTGCCGAAACGATATCTTTGTTTTGATAACTGAAATTTCATATTAATCGTCATCAAAAAAATCCGAAAAATTTTGCAACGATAAGGGAAAAGAATAGATTCGTCAATTTGAGTAAAAAATTATCTTAAAAGAATTATGTAAATGTTAAATAGAATTTTGAAGTTTGACACGGGTGTACGCGATACGATAAATCAGAAATGATAGGGAAAAAAAGATCCAAGAATTTCAACAAAACTCGAAAAAAAAAGAAAAGTAGGAAAATTGTCACAGAAAATTCCAGAACGTGTAACATAATTTTACGATGCAACACAAAAGATAAAGGAAAATAGATCGAATTTTTCGAATAAAATAAAAGAGAAATACGAGAATTATTTCCTTCGTTCGCACTATAAATTAATGAAAAACGCTATAAATAAATTATATTATAATGACATTTTACAACAAGCTCAGCAATTTAACAAAAATTAAAGAAAATCACGAAAGATTCGAAAACTTAGCAGCAATAACACTTTCATCGTGCAAGAAACTAACAAGTAAATAGCAAACACTAGATAGTTTGTTTAAAATCGAGCGAAAAACGAGGAAAATAATTTTCTTCGTTGACACCAATTAAAACACGTGCATCGATGTCATGTTACAAGTCCTGGAAACTTTCGAGCAAAAATCCGTTAGAACGTCATCGACTCCATTACCACGTGACAAAGAACCGGTACCACGCACGCACTATCATCGATATAATTAACCAAACACTAAAAAAAAAAAAACACCACAATATAATTTGCACACGCGTAATCACATCGTATGATCGAACGACACTCGAAAATGCGAAATATATTATACTCAAATTGAAACGATCGAGCAAATATCACTGAATATTTTATCGAAATATTTTTAACAAAAGGACAAATTAATTAATAATTAATAAAATGACAACTCTCACATGTCAATCTCTTTGCTAATTCTCATTGTTTATAACGAGGAAAACAAATAAAATAACAAGAAATCGCGAGTATCATCCAGTATTTGTTGCCTTGTTTGACACTCGAAATCTTAACGATGCTTTCGGGACACTTACCAATGACGAACTGAAGCGGCGCTAGGAAACTTCAAAGGGAAGGATCATTTGTCAGTATCGATGCCGAACGCTCGGCCAAAAGGCGGTATCCTCTAATCCATCCGTCCCCTTTGTGTTCATCGCACTTTGTTTTGACTTCGTCCAATATAAATTGTTGTCGCGAGTCTTTTCTTTAACAACGTGTCTTCGTTTTAAAAATTAAGAAATAACAAATGGGGACTATGCGTCCATCTGACGATCTACTGGAATTTTTCATCATGTACATCCATCTCTTCTCTTTTTATGATCGATTATCTTTTTGATTCGAGGTTAATTTAGTAAATATGGAGTAATTGGGATTGAATTATCGATTGCAAGAGATCATCATTTCTAACGAAAAATTAATCGTCAACTTTTCAACTTTCAACGAATCATGCGAGTTTCTCTTCTCTTCGAGTTTGCCTCTTGTATAAGTTAATCCATAATATAATCTGAAATGGAGTTTTAGAATTTTAGTTTCATTTTTAGTTTCTCTCTCTCTCTCTCTCTTTTTTTTTATTAAAATTTAATCATATCTTTTATTCATGACAATTTCTATGAATTTTTTATACCCATGAAAATAAAAAGCAAAATGTGTGTTAAAAATTGTATTTAAAAAATCGTCGTGTATAAAAAGATTAAAGAAGATTAAAAATACGGTATATTTAACTTAGAGAATGGATATTAACCCTTTCAGGACCAAATTTTTTAAACGGATAAGAGAAAAATGATAGAAACACATAGAAACACATCTTTTCACGATATTTTTATATTAAAAAAAAAAAGAAGAAGAAGAAAAAAGGTATAACTAAAATTTCAGGTTTATTTTCCCAAAAAAGAAATATTAATTACTCGTTATTGATTAAAATTACTATACTTTGTAACTTTGACAGGATTAAGCGTGGAAAAATCATCTAAATTTTCCCCGCGAATGAAATAAGAAAGCGAAATAAGCGAATTTGCTTGGACAAGGAAACGCAGAGCGGCAAGTTTCTATTTGCATTTTCGATAACACTGAATGTTCGATGTATCGGCAATGTACATTCTCGAAACACTTTCAGTGTCGTTCGGCCAGGAGACGCTATGCATTTTAAGCGGTAACCTATCGGCCAAGAAGCTGCACAGAGCGAATTTCGATAGGGCAGCGCGACGTTCGAATAATAATCAGCGTTAATTGCAGACGTGCACAATGGCCCTCGGTCTATGCACCGCGCTTACCAGCGTCTTAAAAGTCTATTTCCTTACGAATCGTAAACGAATTCAATTTAGTTTTATCGCTCTTTGAATACGTAGCTCTCGTTAACGATTTGGAACATCATCAAGAATGATTGAAAAAAGAAGGAAGAAGTTGAACCATCATTTTGAACGCATGATTTTTAATTTCAAATTATTCGCGGGATATATTTTTTCGATATAGATGACGAATAGTTCATTTAGAAAAATTAAAAAATTTTATTACGTACAGATCGATCTAATATGGAAATTTTAAGATTTAAGATAGAATTAATACAATTCACCGATATTCCATAAATTGCATATATATCGAATGTGAACGAAACATTGTGATAATATAAAATGTAGAAAGTAACTGCAAAAGTTACTGAAAAACTTTTGAAAACAATCATTCATTCGATATATGAATTGTTTTAAAGGGTTCGATAAATCGGAAGAATAACAATTCTAAGTCCGAGAAAATGGTATTTCACGTGTTTCCCATTATTGCGATACAAAATTCTTGGAAATAGAATCAAAGATTCCCACACTTCTAGTATGTTAAATCAGCACTGTAGACGCCGCAAATTTTCTCAATTAGAGTGCAATGAGACAGGATCCCATAAAATAACTACTGGTCGAACAAGACCGAGTTTCACTGTTGGACGATTATATCGCGGTTGGTGCATCGTGGGTTGTAACTAAGCTCCTCGTAAAAAGTGAACTGCCCGATCTTCTGAGAGAAATACTTCTGGCCAAGAGAATCCTGCAACCGGCCACTGAACCCACGACCTCGAGAGTCAAATACTCCACGAAGATGCGATACGAGTCGCGGAGATGTATCCACCTCGTAAAAACTGGACCCCGAGCTAGCTTTCCTAGATACGCAACGTACACTTGCATGGAATTGTGCAGCTCTTGTGAAATACACACCTTGTTGGCGATCTTGCTCTTGATCGATGCTGGACACACTGCCTTAAACAACAATTTTTTACAGTTTAAATTTATTTCCTTCAAGTTTATGCTACTTTGGAGTTTATGGTACCTTGGCTGATTTGATGGTACTTTTTTAATTGAATCAGCGCGGAAAATTGATGAATAATATCACCAAGTGTCAGGGAAAAAAAGAATTGAATTAAAGAATTATTTGAATTAATATTGTTGAGAGGATTAGTAGAGAATAGAATTTATTTTTGACAATGTGAACAATGAAAGGATTAAGTCGAAAAAATTTTTATAAGTATCTCCTATCGATTTTGCAACGGAGGGGACTTTTTTCCCCTCTGAATCGATGTTACACAATTATGCCGAGATCTTTCCACATAGCGTTTATCAAGTAGCTAAGGAGAAACGTCTGATTTCCCAGGTGAGTTTACGGTATCTGGAAGCAAGTACAGATGTACATACACTTTGGAGAATTTACTTGGAATTCGATATCATTGTTGCATATATATTTATTCCCAGTTTCCGCTTGTTTCACGCTTCCTTATCACGGTAACTCAAATCTTTACTGAATCGTTATCACCTGTTGTGCACCATATTTCGCGTAATAATTTCAAACCTCCAAATCTCCATTTGAAAAAATTACAGAATTTTTTTCGCGTTTCTTCAAATATTTCTAATTAATTACTATTTAAATGTTACAGTGAATACGATTCAAATTTTAGAGAAAAAGTAATTTAATTTTTTAAACAGAGTATTAAAATTATGTGAAAATATTGGAGATAGAGAAACATAGGAGGACTTGTAATTTTTAACGCAAGAATATTAAACGATAAAGTTGTAACTTGTAATATAATACAACGTAATGATATTCCTCGGCTACATTTTAGAATTAAAACCGCCTCGTATCTCGTAGGAATATATCCATGCCTCCACAACTTTGAGACTTGTTTCACACCCTTGGGATTCCCGCACAAAAACCTTTTACCGCTTTTCGAAAGATCCCTGCATACGAATTCGTTACACAAGTTTATTAATTATTCCGTTCGATCGTCAAAAATTTACAATTCACAGATCAAATAAATATTTCATTATAAATTCTTGGGGGAATCGAGACAGTCAAGAGAGCAACGACTTCGTAAGAACTTTAAAATTTTGAGCCCGGAGTATCTCGCGAGTATCGTTGTATCTTTTATTTAAAAAAAAAGAAAAATCGCACAAACATCTCCATACTTTCTCGTTAAGAATTAACATATATCGATGGCTTTAATACCGTTCAACAAGATTTTCAATTCTTGTTCGTATATTTCCTTGTCAACTTTTACTCTTCTCTCGCTTTTAAAGAATAAAACATTACGCAAGCATCTTCGACATTAAGAATAACTCGACGAAATATTCATCCTCTTCTTTCTTCCGCGCGACAAATCCCAAGATCTTGATAAACGCGACACGTCTCAGTTACAAGACACGATATAATTGCAAAAAGAAAAAGAAAGAAAACATCTCCCAAGCTTATTCCATCAAGGCCAGGTCGAAAAGAAGGGATATTAATTCGCGTACGTAGAAAACAGCTCATTTTCCACGAGAGGGTGGACATTTTTCGACGCAGCAAGGAAGCGAGTAGGAAAGAATTATTATGCGAAAAGTTCGTGCTCCTCGTTTCTTCCCTGATGGACGATTAAAACTTGCAGCGTCGAATTTACAAATTCCTTGGGGGTGTTCGCGGTGGCGGAGGGCATTAATTCGCCTCGGCTGCCCACCTCAACCGCCGAGGCCCCGCCGACCTCGAATTAGAATTTAAATCTGCGGAACGGCTCGCTCGTAATGGCTCGATTTCTTTCGTCACGGTTACGCGGATAGCTAACCGCCCCGGGACAGCTCGTCTTCCTCTTATTCTTCGTCTCCTCTTCTCCCTTCTTTTCCGTGACATGATACGAACGTGTGACTGTTGGATAACCGCGACACAATTATGCGACAATATGAACGAAACACCATGTGTACATAATGTTTCAATTGAAATTTTTATCGCTAATAATTCTTTTATACTCTTTATTATTAATTATGGTAGTATTTAGTAGGGGAAATTTGGATGAATTTTCGCAAGAAATAGATGATAATGGTATTCAATTTCTTTGAATGGACAAAGAATTGCAGTAATAAAAAAAATTTTGTAACAAATAAAGTTTAAACAAACAATTATCAAGTGTAAAATAATCAAGAAAGTGTAATAATAACAAAATATAAATTCCATTTTTAAATACCTTACATTTCTGTAAAAATTACCTCGTATTTACGAAAGATCTGAAAAAAAAAATTACAACTTCTTCAAAATAAATCCATGTATTATATTTTTTATTCTTTTTTTTATATTTGCAACTATTTGCATAACTGATATCGAGAGAGAGCGAGATGTCTCACGATGCGAAAGACTTGAACTAAACGCTTCCAATTCGAGAATCGCGTTAATATTGGCCGATGGAGGACACGAGGCGTTAATATTTCGGAAGCTCTTCCGGTGCCACGTACGAACGTGTACATATTTAAGCGGCTTATAGTTCAACCGGTTTTCGCGATGGTAATTGGTTTATCGGCAAGATTAATAGCAACCATGTCAGTGCAGGATGAGCTTCTGGCCGAAGGAACAAGGTCAGGCATTACGTAATTCTATTCATTTTGTATGCACGTTAGAGAGGTACGAATTATCAGCGAAATTTTGATGATTAAGTCTGATCTGTTCGACATAATGGACGTAGATTAAGAATTAAAGACAGGAAGAGAAGATTGAAATATTCGTTTCTTTTCATTTTTCTATTCTATGGTATTAGAGTTTGATTTCACGTTATAGAATTTTAAATCGTGAAATTAAAATGTTACTTCTTATCCAACGGAAGATTAATTTTTCATAATCTTTCGTGAACGCTGTTCATTGTATTATTTTTGTTAAAGTATGATATATTTTAGATACGAAAAAATGATAATAAAATTATTGGACAAAACCGAGCCGAAAATAGGTAAATAAATAATTACGTTTGATATCGATACAAATCGATTCGTCGTATTAAAATTTTATTTGTCGAGTAAATTTAATAATACATGCTTTGCGCTATGAAAATGTATTTTCGTATTCTAAAGAGTTATTAATCGAATCATCGATATAATCAAAATATTATTCAATTTATCGAACAAATTAAGTATTAATCCGATAAAATATGCCTGATATTAATACATTATATAAGCATTATTTGCATATTTTGCCTCGTATTATATTATACTTGGAGTAAAACAATTATTATTTCACGTCACTCGTTCAAAAAATAAAGTAAAACAAATTAAGTGTTGCAAAGTAAAAAAATTATATCTTCACTTTATCAAAGCAAATTATACAAAACTAAATATTTCTCCAATACAAAATACTTTTCGAATCACGCTTTCAACATCATCGTTTCCGTTTCCAGATCATCCAGGAATGCCTCCTATCTTCATCAAGCGGATTCATGGAAACCGGACGTAACGTATAAAATGAAAAGTTTGGTACGAATTCATTCGGCGCGGGTATAGTGACGGGCGCATGCGCGTTGAGTGTTTCGGTGGCGCTCGCGAGGGTTCGTGATCAGTCGGCGACGCGGGGTGGGGATACGCCGGTCGAAGGGATAGATAGCGTAGTCGCGGTCCGATGGACGAGCCGCGTGGAGGGACGAGAGAGGGTGCGGAGTCCGCGTGTCGTTGACAGCAGCGGCGGCTAGCAAGCCTCGCTTAAGCGTCGCTCGACAGTCGAAGCCGGTCTCTCGGCGTGCGAGTATCGAGAGTATCGCGAAAGGGTTCGTTCGAGTTCCGTTCTCATCCGGCGACGCGAGCTTGTCACCTGTCAACCTTTGCCCGTCGCGAAAGAAAGTTCGAAGTCAACCGAGACCTAACCTCTGCGTTTAAATCGAGTTTTCCTTATCGTGTGTGTCGCGCTAACGAACCATCGAGTTCTCGATCCCTCGTTGTGCGTTCGTTCGTGTCGTGCCTGTTCGCCAACCACGTTTCCGCTCGCGTGTGTCCAGTGTGCAGAAGTGTATGGATTCCACGGCGGAAGCAACGCTGTCGAGATTGCGAGGACGTTCCTTCTGGCCGGTTAACTCTTAGGTAAGTCGATTCACCTCTTTATTGCGACGTCTCTGGCCACTGGCGTATCGAAACGATCGTTCGAATTCCCGCCTTGTGAAGCGTCGTGTGCGAACCATTCGGACTCGAACCAGTCGACTCCATTTTATGAATTCTAACTTTTTTATCGGAATATACAAAACGAGTGTTTAATTCGTTTATTACGATTGATAAGTTCTTGGCTTCTGTGTAATGCGCATAACCTTAACGCGTAAACTGAAAAAACGGAACACGTTCCCTTATTTCCGCGAATTATGAATAAATAGAAACGGGACCATCTATCTGTTTACATCTCGTAATGTTATCGTGAAATCGATAGTGAGATACATATATCGTAACGACGCGCAACACGGTATCCACTATTCAAGGTTATGGTTTAATCGACTGAATTGAAGTTTCCTCCGAAACTAGAAAATGTGCACGCTTCTCGTTTTCGTTTGATTAAAAGTACACGATTGATCAGTTCGTATGAACTAACCTTCGTTAATACCGAATAACCCAGTTACGCTCGACTAAGGAGGCATAGTACACGCGACCTACATTAACGGGTGTACACCTAAAGGTTGACGTGCGCTTGCCCGCATTATGCATCGGGATTCTTTTGAATTCTCACTTGGAATAGGGTACGAAGTAGTAGGATAAAAATCGATTTACGATATTTTTTTCGCTTTGATACCTGAGAGCCGCTTTGATACTCGGCATAGTGTGTGTGTGTATGTGTGTGTGTACTATCCGTGTGTATTTCGTTATTTCTGATCGTAAAGTAAACGGATTAGATATCTCCCTTCTTTCCGGATCAATGAAAAGAAAAATTAAGTAATTTAAGTAAACTTTCACAAAGATTTCTTTTCACATAATTAACTAACTATTTCTTTAACGAAACAAAAAAAAAAAAGAATTCTAATTCTGAATTAAAATTTCTTCGAATCTTAATTCGAAAAAAATTAAAAATATACGAACTTTTCCAAACTATTTAAAAACCATTTTGAAGCCATCTCGTTAAATTTTCGTTAAATAGATCGTTTCACCCTAAATTTCAATTTCGATCGCGAACGAAAATGTTGTCCGAGGTATCTGATAATAAACGGCGGGGCATCGTTCGAACAGTCGTTGATTACACGACCTCTCGTTTCCGGTAACGAGCATTCGGTGGCCAGTGGTTGCCTCTCCCATTGATATTCGCCAGATTCGTTTAGCATTTTAAATGGGGAACATCGATCGACTCGTTTCGCAAAATTTCCAACTCTCGTTCGTAATCTCTGACTCGGTAATAGCGAGGGTTTCGATCGAAGGGGATTAAAACGAAGCTCGAGCCTACGCTCTCCGGGATAATCGTGATTTTCTGGTCGCTTTGTGACGCGTCCATTGAACGTCCACCGTTCTCTCGCTCCTCTCTGTTGATATAACGTTACTCCGTCGCGTTAGTCCGTGTTATTTGCACGACGATTTGAATTCATTTCGCGTCAAGTCGCAAACGTGATCAGAAAGCGTATAAGACGCGTGTGTTACGTTCGTGTCTCTGGGAATTGGCGGATCCGTGTTTGCACAGTTGTTTCTTTTTCCATACCGATTCTCCTCCGCTTTCCTAGGCTTCGATAGCTTGCGGTTCCCCCATGTATGTATTTCGTATTTGTCCAGGTTCTGATTCGAAATTTATCCTCGAGTTACGAATAAGTGCATCTTGCATCTATGCGAGCTTAATGATCATAATGTGGATATAACGGGTGGAACAATTTTTTTTAATCAAAATTAATTAAATTATTAGAAGAATTCGTAGAATAAGAATTTTTTTATCGCGTTGACAATCGAAGAGAACGTTTTGTAATTTTAATTGAGGAGCGGCAGATATTTTCACCGCTTGTGAATGCGAATAAAACGAAAAAATTAGTGGGTATTTCGTATTCTATTTAAAGCGCCCCTAAAATCAATTAAATTCGAGTGACCTTGCAGTCATACGTTTATTGGAGTGACAGTGGCCTTCGAACCAGGGTGCGCTTGGTTTACTTGAACCGTGTTAATCGATCACGGTTTATTCCCTTTTAACGCTCGTCGAATGTCGTTCGTTGTCGGAACTTTATCAAACTGTAGATGTAAAAATGATTTTTCTTTTCACCTGATTTAATATTTAATTTCATTTCGTGATTTTTGCGCCACTTTTTAACGATACATTTTTTTTTAAATTAGCAATAAAAATTGAAAACTTTTATAATAAAATCGCATTTATCTAAAATTAATAAATTCGTCGATCATTAACATTTGATTTTTAACACGAAAGGAAACTAACGTTAAACAACGTTCATTATACTACGGTCATTATTGTGCAATGTGCATCTCACACACACGCACACAGGGTGAGTCTAAGCATCGTGGATGAAAAAATCGAATAATGAAATGTTCGGATAACAGAATGCTCGTGCCGGCAAGTACAACTCGGATAACGAGAGTTTCTGTAATGAAAGTTTCGCGGTATAAAACTTTACCTACCTTCGATTCCACGATTAAACGTTAATCCACTGATAGCAACGATGCCAGAAGGCAAAGACTTGGAATTACATTTTCCATTAGTGGTTGCTCCGTTTCAATGGGGAGTTATGAACGAACAGTCCATACTACAGATCGTAGCCGCGATTACGAGTGGTGCACGTGAAATTCGTACCAGTGCGTATATATACCGGTGATGTTCATGCGCGTATTGTTATCAATATTGCACTTCCCTCGATTCTTGCAATTAGAATACGTTAACCGACTCTCATACTTCTCGTCGTAGCGTGCATCGATATTGTAATTACGCGTTGACAATCGCGTTTATTTATTTTTTCTCTTTTTTTTTGTTCTATTAAGAATATTTTTCTTTTGGAACATTTTTTCCTTTTTTATAGGATTATTATTAATAGAAAGATTGCGATATCAGAATTTTGTCCTCCGATATTTTTTTAAAAAATAGCTTTGGAAGCGATATTAAACTGCTCTTCGATTCTTCTTTTCTCGATAACATTTTCGTAACGTTGGAAAACAGGGTTGTAAATCGATTGAGAAAAAAATTCCATAAAATTTCGATAACACTTGACGGATTTAAACTTTGTGTAAATCCATACAATTTCATTTGTTAAACGAAGGCTTCAATTTTGAAGTAAATACGTAGCCCAAATGGCTAATACATTTCTAATCTAATCTCTACGACGTGACGTGCAGCACTTGTCCTGCACTTCGTTTGTCTTTGAAACTAATAAATAAATGCAACAGTTTTGCAATATTTTATCTCATTTATCATTCAATTATTCCATTATTCATTATTGTCGTTCATCGAGTATCGAGTCGGTTACGATTAATTTTTCAGTGGGAAAATACATAAAAATTTGTAATGGCGATTTTCTTCAAGCTCTGATATTTTATCAAAGATTGTAACAATTGTCTCACTAATCGCTTTTACTTCATTTAGATGATGGTATATTAAATTATATTAATTGGCGGTTTATGATCGATGTTTCTCTTATTCGCGCCAAGATAATAAATCGACAAACGAGATTGAATAATTGCTACAAATTATGCATCTCCGTGTTACATCTCCAACTCCACGATGTTTATAAAAAATTTCTATCTCATTTTTTTTTCAGCTCGAATAGGTAGATCGGATAAATATTTTTATCGATGTCGTTTCTAAATCATATTTATCTTTCGGCTCGATGCAATTGCATCAAGCTTCTTTCGATGATAAAGATGAACAAATATATTTTTTTCCCTCTTTATCGTCTCTCTTAATCGCAAAATTTTATATCGACAGATTGTGTTTGCACGAGCGAAGCGACATTTTTCAGGCTTTTAGCAACAAGTGTTTCGCGATTGTGCAATCTGCGGTCCTTGATCAATAAATCACGCACCATTGTGCGTGCTCAATTTTGAAACGCGATTATTCTATGGTATTATTGGAACGAAGATACGGTTACAAAAATACATCATATATATTTTAAGACAAATAGTAGAAAACGAATTTCCACGAAGATCGAGAAATCGTAATATCTCTTCCCCGAGTATTTATTCCTCTCCTTTAGATAGATTTCCTTTATTTCTATCTTCAAAATAATTTCCACTTCGACATTTTCGATTTGCAAAAAGATATTCGTACAATTGGGGATCCTATTTTCGAAACGAAATCATCGAACGAGAAAAACAATTCTCGCATATTTTCTTCGAATTCGAAACACGTGCGCGCTATAGAATTTCCCTGCCGACACTCGAGTCGCCGTGTTCATGACCTACGAACGCTCATAGAGAATGTCTACATCCTATAAACGACTGTGGAGGAACAGAAGAAAGAGCGTATTTTATATACCCCGTTCGGATTATGCTGTCGGCGTTCTTGCCGCATTAATGACGAGCAGACGTAACGTGCATCATTGCGCCACTTATTTCTTATCTGACAGAGCACGGCCGGACGGCAATAAATCTTTCCACCGGTTTATCGCCCGTTTCAGCGGACAACTGTCGTTCAGTATCGAGAGCCAGACGCCCGTGGACACCGCGTACATCTCATTCTCTTTCCGAACCCTTTTCACCGATGATCGGCCAAATCAAGATCGGTCAAATTGTCGGTCGGCCAGCGTGTTCGTTTCGTAGAGGAGAGAATTTTAAATTCAAATCGGAAATCCATCCATCTCGTGCGATTTTTTTTTTTCTTTTCGTTGCTCTCTGTACGAAGCGTCGTATATATTCGCGTAAAAATAATGGAAAATGAAATGGTGGAGTAACATTTGTCTCGATAAGATTTCCTTATGAAAATCAATTATATATGCAAAGAAAAGAATGATTACTTAGAATTTTTATCTTTTATTTGTTTTTATACGAAAATAAAATATCGATAACTTCATTTTCAAATAACATGGAAGAAAATATTTCCATTCAAAAAATATTCTGCGTCACTTCTCGAAGAAACAAAGCAAAAAAGGAGGAAATCGGTTTTTCCTCTCGAATCATCGTCCGATGAT